TTTTTTTGATTTTATTTTTTTTTTTTTTTTTTTGTTTTTATTAACGAACAAATTATTTTTACGACAAACCAATCGACTTTAATATTATTATTATTATTATTATTATTATTATTATTATTATTATTATCATTATTATTATTATCATATTATGTTTGTTACGTATTTTTAAAAAAAAGAAAAATTAAAATTATTATTATTATTATTATTATTATTATTATTATTTGTCAATGATTATTTTTTCGTTTTATTTTTTCTCTTTTTTTTTCATTTGTTATCAAAATATTTAATTAAATATAATTGTTGTTAAAATATTATTATTATTATTGTTATTACGGTTTTAAATCAATAATATTATTATAAAATTATCGTCAATAGTTTAATTTTTAACATTTTTTAATATTATTATTATTTCGTCTTTTTTTTTTTCTTCTTCTTGCCCCCCCTTTTATCATTATTATTATTATTATAATTATTAAGTGTTTATTTTTTTGTTTTTTTTCGCCATCGGATTTTCCCCGCCCTCTCCCCCCCCACCCCTACTGCCAACGTCCATCGTCCCCCCTACAGCCTCGTTCGAGTAAATAATTAATAATATTATACGATGTTTTATGTTTATATTATTATTACATAATTAAATATTTAAAAATACAATACAGCCGATAAACAAACTGTTTTTTTTTTCTTTTGTCCGTTTCCGGTCGTGAAACCCATCACACAACAATTGTCTGCTGTACTTTCATTATAACATCGGCGTGTAATAAAACTAACCGCGCGATACAATTCGCGTGCGTTTCTGTTGAACTTGCACGAATCAATATTGTTCGTCTCCGATCGGTTTTTTCGTACAGCAAATCAATAGTGTATATTTATACATATTATATAGGTATATTATAACTAGCAATGAACCTCTGCGTTTACGGAGTTGGATTTCGATGGGAAATTCGATAACGCGCACGTTTTTTCGGGTAGTGGCATATAATAACAGAGTATGTATATTCACGCGATTCCCCGAGTCGTAATCTGAGTTAGTGGCGTGTCCGGGCGTTTTCAAAGGAAGGGGACGCGTGTACGTTATATAGGTACAGTGGCGTGCGCAGCGCGGGAAGGAGGTTAGGGTTTATGTCACCCTACTCCCCATCCGGCTTACAAATACAACCACCATGAATATTTTACACGGGGAAAAGTTTTATTCGTCGAACGCGAATCGTCATTTATGGATTCGGTTTTTTGAAATTCGCATTGGTGTATAGAATTTCGCGATTTTACTACGAATCGTAATTGTTGTCCGAAAAATCTCGATCTCAGTTCTGCATATAAACACGGTGAATGTTAAATTCGCGAAATCTTCTACCGTCGCGGCGTAGCAGGACGCGTCCGACCCGGAAATTTAAAAGCCGCGTTTAAATAAGGCCGACCATCTTGTTCGACCAATCGACGTTTTCCTCGCTATTATTTCTCAAACCGAGCCAGATATAATTTCCGTCATCCCTGCCGCACGTCGCCTTGTCGCTCTATTATAATATTTTAATATACCGAGGCCCGGAATCGGCCAAAAACCGCAATCGGCTAACCGTAAACACCGCGTCCTGTCAGATTCGAATCCGCAAAACTATCGAAAATAATTTTAAAATGACAACATGCGACGTCCGAATGTCCGATCTACAGTTTCCGCGCGCTCTCGTTCCTACGATATAACAATTCGCGTGCCGTCTAAAAAGTCCGGTAAAAACAAAATCAAATCTGTCGGGTGTTTTTCTCTCTTTTCGAAAGTCAGGATGTTTTTTTTTTTTTTTTAGAGTTCGCGTCCGGTCCAACGAAATATTTCCCAGATAATATAATACTATAATAATTATGTATTACGCCTCGAAAAACCGTCGTCGACATTACAATAACCAACCACACCGTCGAACTAAAATCGGTTTTTTCGCCCCCTCTCAAATGATTTCCTCGTTCCGGACGCGGGCCCGACGCGACATCATCGACACATCGACTTCGGATCGATAATAATACTTGTATAAGTAATGTAATTTAAAAAATTAAATATTATTAAACTATTCGTTAATTTTTCTCTCCTCGTAGCGACTTTATTATAATAATAAATACACGTACTATACTAAATAATAGTGTTCACTCTTCGTAATATTTCGGTGATTAAATCGCACTATATTTGCTTGCATTATGCCTTCAGCGTTATTACTGCATAATATAATATAATAATTATCGTCAGTTTTATATTATTACGATATAAATTAAGCGTATACAATAATATTACATAGAAACTAATAACATAATGGTTCCCCTTTCTCGCGTCATTTCAATTTTTTCTAATAACGACCGTACGCGGTATTAATATAATCGCGATAATCGCGTAGGTTACGATAACATATAAAAAAAAAAAACCGTCGTTTTTTTTCTTTCTCTCTCTCTCTCTCTCTCTCTCTCTTGAGAAAGAGACAAACGTCAAGGAGCCGTTTGGCGGAAATAAAAGAAACGACATTTCCGAAACGGGGGTTACAGGACGGTTTCCCGGCGCTTTTTCTCCGTTTAGTGTGCGACAATAATACGTACTCGACACCGCGCGGACGGTCCTTATGATGATGACGATATAATATCATTGTTATCATTGATATTATTTTGATATCCGTAATGGTGCCACTCCGACGTGTCTCCGGTATAAACGTAAACGAACAGTTGAAGGGGTGCGCGAGGAGCCGTTTTTGAAAAAAAATAAAAATAAATAAAAAAAATCATAATACTAATAAAAAAAATACCATTCCCCTGCGGTGTTCGGTACGGACGTCATCGCCGTGAATGAAAATTAAATTTAAAAAAAAAAAAAAAAAAAAAAAAAAAACCCATCATTATAATACGTTTGTGTAGAGTACGGGGTATGAAAATCATAGTACAATACCTACAAGTATTGTGTACCAAAGAAAAAAAAAAAAAAACAACGATAAATACTATGTACGCTTCTACCTCATAACATTGATAAAATATCGTCAGGAAATTTTTTTTTAAAAAATTAAAAAAAAAAAAAACCCATCATTATAATACGTTTGTGTAGAGTACGGGGTATGAAAATCATAGTATTATTAATTAACGCGATTAGTTATGAAATAATCGCTTGATAAAAAAAAAAAAAAAAACAACTAAAATGATAGTGTACTTATTATGAGTATATTATATTCAGGTACAATCGTTATTATTGTCAATCGATAATACGCGCGTCATTCGAACGATATAATATTATTCTTATAATGATATTATACGTGTACATATTTTTTTTTCATTATAATAATCTTAATTACGTATACCTAGATTTAATTATTCATTTAAATTAAACGAAATATTATTATTATTATTATTATTATTATATTATAATCTACAATCGTAGAGAAGACAATTCGATTTTTAAACATAACGCATATTATACCTAATTAATAATTATTATTAAAATATTATTACATTTATTACGTAATATTTTGTCGCTATAGTAGAAAAAAAAAAAAAATTATACCAATATAATAATTCAACGATAGCTATAATAATATTATAAAAATACACACACATACAAAAAAAAAAAAAAAAAAAAAAATTAATTAATTTTTTTAAATTTAGAAAAAAAAAAAAAAAAAAATTTAAATAATTATTATTATATTACTAGTAGAGGTATTGTAGGTAGTAAACAACACACGTTTGTAGCATTATATTATTGTGGTTCATTATTTATTATAATTATTACATTATACATTATTAATTAAAATTATTATTATATTAATTATTATAAATAATCGCTCTTGTTCGCTCTATATTATTATATTAAAATACGATCGCTTTTGAACATTATTTAATTGATTAATCAATAAAAAAAAAAATAAATAAATAAATAAATAAATAAGTAAATAATAAAAATATTATTATTATTATTATTACAATAATATTATTAATTGTACACGCACTATTGAGTGATACTATTATTATTATTATTATTATTATATATTATACAAATTAATACTGTTTCGTTATTATTATAATTTCTATTTAATTTTTTCTCTCCTCATAATGTATTATTATTTTTAATTATGTATGCATATTGATATACATAATGACACGATATTTTTATTGTGATAATAATATATTCGTTTTACTATATTATTATTACGACTATTCATAATACGTTACGCGCGGCGAGACGAATAAACGATAATAATATTATAACGATATGACGTGTTGAAAAAAAGCGACGGAAAAACAGAAAAAAAAAAAAAAAATAACAAAAACAAAAATCGATTCAAGAAGAGATTAATACCTGTGTCGGTCGACCAATGCGTTGTCGAAGAGCTGAACGAACGCGTACGCGTTATAAATATTATTATAACACCACTTTCTTTTACCGTTTTTTTTTTTGTCCACTCACTCCGTGTCTTGGTTTCTTCTGTCCGTGACGCGAAACGCAAACAACATAACAACAAATCGTATTATATTCTGACGATATTACGCTCGTGTCACGCGTCGCTTGATCATCACGGTGATAACGGCCGAATCGCGAAAATGGCCGTGGAAAAAAACGTCCGCGCGTACCGATAACGGTCAGTGGAAAAAAAACATGACCGAAAAAAAAAAAAACAAAAAAAAAAAAAAAAAAAAAAAAAAAAAAAAAGAGTGCAGCTACAGCGGATAAGTCAGTCATAGGCATGTCCCGAGGAAAACGAGTCAACGCTTCTCGCGAAAAAACGTTCATTTCGATTCGTCCGGTTAAACGTCCATTTTTTTTTTCCACGATTTCCGTTTAGTAACGTGGACGTTATCGTTTTCACGCGGACATGTTTCCCGCGGCCGTCGTCACCTAAAATCGTTGTTATTATTATTATTATCATTTCGTTTCGTTTTGCCGTATAAACTTCATGAAATTAACTAAATATTAACAATAATATTAATTAAATAATTGACTTATCGTTTATTGAGTATTATACATTAATCGATAATAATATAATTCCCGTTTTTATTAATCGTGTACCATGATCGTTTTGTCAACTTTACTATTATATTGCATAATATGATTTAATATAATACCGTGCACACGTATTTGACGTTGAGATAACAATAACGTCATTCTTATTATATGCATACACCATAAAACGAAAACGGGGATAAAAAAAAAAAAAAAAAAATGTAATACGAAAGAGAAAAGCTCAATTTTTTTTTTTTTTTNAATGTAAATATAAATTATAAGGAGTTTGAAAAACAAAACAAAAAACGAGTCCGTTTATATTGTACTTTTCTACGGGTTATTACGGGTTATGGCGCGAAAGTTTGTATGTGTAATACTGTTATACGTATAATAGGAGTACGTTTATCGAATATTGAATCTGTTATAATATTTTCTCGTTCTATACGTGTTACGGAACATTTAGGTATTATAATATAGCTCGGGTTATATTGGTTGTGTGTTGCGTGTGGAGTATGGGAGAGTATGGAGAGCGTAGTTATTGTTATAGATCGGGGGAATACTCGCAAACGCGTATTATCATATATTAGATAGTCTCTCGAGACAAATAATATTATAATATTATCGTTTTTGTGCATAAAAAAAAAAAAAAAAAAAAAAAAAAAAAAACCAAAAACAACGAATAAATGTGAAACTTGATAATAATATTGACGGGATTAAATTATAATAATCTCTGTCTAGTAACAGTGGCAATTCAATACCATATCAATGCTAAACATGAAACATAAAAAAAAAATTTATGTTTTAGCGATTTATTATGGCAATAATTAGCGTAGTGTACACTTATTTTTAATTAACTAATTTTTTTTTTTTTTTATAAATATAATATAAATTTTATATATACATAATATATGATTATACTTGCGGTACCGAAAATAAAAAAATAAAAGAAATAAAAACGTTCAAAAACCATACCGATGGCGTGTAAAAAACACAATACCACGCGAATAAAATACTATATACATTATATTGTAATATAATATGATAAATATATATATTATTATAACTATGTTTATAATGCCGTAAATTTTTTCAAAAAAAAAAAGTATTTTAATACGCTGATGTGATTTCGGTGTGGAAACAATTAAGAAATAAATAAATAATAAGACGAACGAGCAAGGAATCCCGCGGTAAAAATGTAATTTTTTTTTCCCCGTATCGCGAATTTTTTAAATCCGTATATAAAAAATTAAAAATAAAAACAAAACCCCTCCTCTGAAATAGCATTTCACTCCGAAGCAATAATAATATATCGTTATATTATTATCTATTCGACTGTATTTGTATAACTTGATTTGTATTCAATTATATTATTACTATTATTACATTATAATGTTTACTATTGTATTTGTTATTTTTTTTTTTTTTTTTTTTTTTGGTCTTTCTACTGAATATACGTGTAAAATTATTATTGTTAAGTAACGATAATATTGTTGTAATAATTTTGTATCTATCGCGAACGGCTGCAAGGCGTCGAAACCGATGATAGTAGTTCGTCGATTGACGGCCAAGAACGACGACTACGTCTTTTATTATTATTATTATTATTATTATTAGAATATTAGAATTTTTGTAGAATTTTTGAAAACATAAAATACATAATATTATATTTCGATTTAGAATAAATAATATATTATTACATTAGGTATAAGACGGATGAAAAAAAAAAAAACTTATAAGACGGGACACTTATTTGAATGTCGGGGAAAAAAAAAAAAAAAAAAATGTATAAAATATTCGTGCCTACATCATATTCTATACATTATACGCCGGCTAAAATGATATACGCGTTTGTTTAACTCGACGCTTATGAAACGCCAAAGAACATTTCAATCGTTACAATAATTATTAGGCACCTATATTGTTATACATACATTATTATTTTTTTTTTTTTTGTCTTTTTAGATATTTTAAATATTGTCCCGTACTCATAGTGTCCGAAAATATTATTTACTATTGTCATTATAATAATATAATGTTATACATATAGATTATACATACATACATACATAGAACAATATAATATACGATTTTAGAAACATTTTACTATTATTATACACTATTATAATTATATATTACTTATCGACATTATTACGATTATTAAACTATATACTCTATAACATATTATTATTATTATTATTATTATAATTATTATCACGATTTAATATACGCGTAGACGATTTAAATACGTATACATATATTACCGTAAATGATACGGTAATGATTACTGCGCATTGTTATTAGGTATAGTACCGGAGACTTCTCCGCCCGGCCCCCTCTCCATCCTCCCTGCTCCCTGTTGACGCTGTCCATTCTTTTGTTTTTTTTTTTTTTTTTTTTTTTTTTCAATATCCGTTTCCGAATACAACAGGAAAATTATGTTTAATGCGAATTAACAAAAGAGAAAAAAAAAACACTACGATTTGCGCCATGTTGTTACGCAGTACGTCCGGTCCGCAAAAGACGCGCGCGACTGGATCTCCGAAAACAATATTACGAGACAACGATAGTAACGTCGTTGTCGCGATATTAATTTTAAGACACGACCGTTCGGAGCGCATTCGTATCGCGCATCGTCATCACGGGATGTCCGGGGAGGCGTATTAGGTACAAAATAAACCAAACCGATTTCTAAGGAATTTTTTTCTTGTTTTTTTTACGAAAACTTAAAACACACACACACACTTCAAAAAATAAAACAAAAATAAAAATTTTTCGACATTATATTATACCCGCTCGCACACACGCCGCTCGTCTTACACGCATGCACACAAACACACACCGTATAACACAATCACGCGCCGATTTCCAGTGGCGGCGCGAAATTGTTTTCTTCCTGCGGAGCGGTCTCGCGCGCGAACCCGCAAAGCTCAGGACAATCAGGAGCCGTATCTGAGGTCGTTACTCGAGGTTTCACGTGTCCTTTTCGTGAACGCGACTGGCGATAGAGTGCCGCCGTGCATAATACGAGTCTAATATCGAATTCGGCCGTAAATACCCCGTAGGACACACGCCGTTCACGCCGCCACTGCGCTAGGTATGCGTCACGTCGGTTTTCGACATTTATCCGGCCGCCGCCGTACGCCCGGCGTACGGCCTTTCGGTTCGAGAGAAACGTTATTTTTAAAAAAAAAAAAAAAAAATTCAATTCAATTCAACACGATATTATTTACACCGTTCACGTAACGATAACGACGATTTGTTATAAACTTTTTTTTCTCGATACACAACGACAACGACAACGCTTGTATAACATAGTTCTATAATAATAATAATATATATTCTATTATAATTACGTATATAATATGTGCACAAACAAAATGGTACACGCTCTTTTACACGATACAATATTATTTACGGTGTTACAATACGATTTTGTACAAAATGTATTATGTATATATAATTTATACATATTTATATATAAATATTATATAAATTATTATCTATATTATATTTATTATTATTATTATTATTATTATATTATTACTTTAAAGTTGCTTACTTTTAAGTTCTTACAATATTATATTATATAATTATATTATAATAATAATCATTATCAATTGAACGATAATACTATATATTATAATTAAAAATAAAAATATTGTTTCACGTTTAAAAAAAAAAAAAAAAAAAAAAAAAATGACGCGTTTTGTTTTGACGCGACGCCAATAACACTCGCGTGAATTGTGTTCTGCAAGGTTAACACTTCCGTGTTGTTTAGGTATTGACGGTGTAATAATAACAAAAAAAAAAAAAAAAAAAACTTAAGAAATCTGAATTCTACAGTCATAGTACTGGCGGGTACATAAATACGAGTTCAATAGGCCACGGGGAAATATTATGTCCACATAAACTTATAGCTACGGACAAATTCGGACACAACAAAAACGTAATTAATTTAAATTTTTTCATCCCGTCAATTTTCGTATTTGGCCATATTTTCCTCCGGCCGCTTTGATTATGGACGATTTTTATTTGGCCATTATTATCGACTGACGGTTCTTGCGAACAGATATCTTAATATTGTGAGTTACGCGGTATAAAAATCATATTGAGTTTTCTAAAAACACGATTTATTACGTTAGGTTTTACATCAAGGCGACAAATCAGCAACTTTCTGTCTCGCGGCAAAATCCATTTTGGTGACACGATTTTCGTGTTTCTAGAGACATTTCGTGTCCGCTCAAAAGCGTTAAAAGGTTTCTGTTTTGTTCCTGTTTCCGGCAACATGAGTCTTTTTGATGTAATCGGGTGTTACTGTTGCATCACTAATTGTAATTGTTTATATAATTAATTATCAACTCGCTATCGTTAAAACGTATCATTATCAGTGAACAATCGGCTGCATAAGCATTTATCACGCATAAATTATCGTAATTTATCACCATAACATAATGAATATTTTTTCAATTTTAAATCCTCACGGTGTTGCCATAAAAATCCAATTTGTAAGTAAACCAAATAAACTGTGGTCTACATACGATACAATTTAAGTCAATAGAACTGCATAGACAATAAATGTTTATTCATTTAAAAAAATGTAACTGATAAAAATTCCAATGTTTGTCACTTTTTTGTCTGTGCAGTGTGAACAGCAAACGGAATGTAAGCATTTTTCCTAGGAAATGTGTCCATTTTCTTTTTTTAACGTAAACAGAAAAGTTGCTGGTTTTTCGCCGTATACTTTATTTCTCGTCAATTTTGTCACCGGAGTTTGTTGCTATTATGTTTTTTATTTTGTTACCTTAATGTAAACCCGGCATTAAACACAATGGCTATTCGAAAACAATATTCGTTTTTGTGACATCCGAACACGAAGAAAAGCAATTTGGATAATTCCGCACCCCGTTGAATAATAATTGCTATGGGTCGACTGTGTTATAGGTGGACTTCCATCGTCTGAAATTTAGGTGTTTTTGTTTTTTTTTCTTGGTCGATATAATATAATCGCAATGTTGCCGTTTACCGACGTGATCGATAACGCGCGTGATTGATAATACTAGTCCCGGGAATGTCTGCGGGAACGAACCTACAGATAAACGGTACACAAACAATAAACGGACGACCGTTCAAATAACACACCGATAGTAAATACATAAATACATAATATAAAATAAACATATTTTTTTCAAATGGTAAAATGAATTCGTCGGAAATTCGGACGAATCCACTTCCCAACCGTAATAATATTTAATGTTCAGAGAATCGATTCGTGCGCCGTTCGGCACGATAAGTTATATCGGGAGAACCGAATAACAGCAAAAAAAAAAAAATGTCATAAAATCGATAAAATTAGAAGAAAAAAAACATCCACGTTCTTCCCGTTACTTTAGCGGCGTTTTTACAGTAACGTCGTCGCGTGACGCCTATCCAGCGGTTAAAGTGGGACAAACTTCGAAAGGGTTCGCAATGTTCACCGAAAACCGAGGGACTTTTATTAATAGTAAACCCAACCAAACTTTTAGGAAACCCGTCAAGACTTCCGAAACGCTTTTTCTCTCGCGCACATTTCGCTCATAAAAACGTAATACAGTTATATTATTTGAGTTCGAAAATAAACTGCGTTCGTCCCGCCCCCGAAATATGACCCCCTACGCCGCACGGTCGTCCGGCAAAAATAAAGTAAAACGAATTACGTACAATCTATTACAGGACGTGTTTGACGAAACCAACTGGGATTTTTAGAATTTCGTTAAAAACTTCTCGGCGACAATAACCGAATCGCCCCCCGCGAATACTTCGAAGACTCGGACTGTACGGGAGGACCGACCGTTTTACCTGACGTAAGTATGAGGACACTATTGCGATCGCGGACCGCTCGATAAAATTAAAATAATAAAAAAACAATAAAAATTTAAAAAAATTACGCCTCGTCCGAGACGGACGGGCGTACGCAGCGTAAGTATACACGGTACGTACCTGTCGGCGAAACCAAAACAAAATCGAGGTGACCGCGCATACTTTGCGCCGCGCCCTTGACGGCGGAGCGGCTACGTGACCGCGAGGTCTCACGTATCCGCGCACACCCATACGTGTCGTCGAAGCGTTTCGCGGACGTACCGCGTTGTTTGGGAAATTCGGACTCCGGACGGACGTTATCGCCGGGACCGACCAAAACAACAGCGGCGGCGCAATCGGAGCCGGTTATCTCGGGCCGGGCGCCGGTCTATAAAACGACCGGCCGGAGACGCACTGGACATCAGTCACACACGCCCGTCACGACCGAGTTTCCGTCCGCGTACACAAATATAATAAAATATTATTAGTATACCCCGTTCGTTTCAAACACATTAGTATACCCGACCATGTACCGCGACCGCTTACTAACCGTGTGTTTGTGCGTTTTAGTGACCGCGGTGACCGGCAATCCGCACGAGTGTTTGCTGGAAGAATACCGGAGAGCGTTGCTCGCCCATTACAACCTCTCGCCGGCGGCGGTGGCCGCCGCGGAACCCGTGCCGTACGATTACGAAGCGGCGGGCCTCAGACCCGGCAGATCCAACGACGCGGGCGCGAAGCCGGGCGTCCCGCAGCACGTGCTCGACCCGGCCGCGGCCAGAGAGCCGACCGCTCCTTGCAAGGCTACGCTCGCGCAACCGGCCAAGGGCGTCAACGACACTTCGTCGATGGCGACCGTCGAGAAGCTGTCCGCGTACTACGACCACCTGAAGAACCAACAGGAACTGCTGGCCAGGCAACAGCACCAGCACCAACTGTTCGAGTTGCAGCAGCGCCGGCAACAGGAGTTCATACTCGTCCAGCAGCAGATCCAGCAGCAGTACCTGCAGCAGCAGCAGCACGCGCTGTTCATGTTGGAACAGCTGCGCAAGAATCCCGCGTTCGCCGGCCAGCTGGCAGCGTTCGCCGGCACAAACGGCACGGACGTGCCGAACAACGAACCCGCCGGCAAGGAGCCGCCGGCCGCCGTCAACAAGGGCACGTCGCCGACCAAGTTTGTGCCCGCCAAGGAACAGACCATAGCCAACCACGCGGAAGTTCAGGCCGACGACTGCGGCGCCAATAAGCGCGTGGGCCTCAGGCAAACGGTCGCCGCCAAAATCGACCGGTCGTCCGACGCCGAAGACGACGACCCGGAAGACGTCCGGTATTCGAATTCGGAATACGACGACCAGACGGCGGACGACGAAAACGAGAAACCGGCGGTCATGAAGAAAGTCTACAGGGTGTCGGCCTCGGAAGCGGACGCCGACGAAAACTCGATGGCCGACGCCAAGAGCCGGGCCGCGGCCAGTCGCATGAAAATCGCGGACGGATGCGGCTCCAAGCGTCCGGTCACCAGACGGGCAGTGGCCGCGGCGAACCAGCCGTCGTATTCCGGAACACCGTTCGCCGGTCGCGGCCAGACTCAGCCCGGGGGCGACGGTGACGTTCCTCCGACAATGTGGAAACTCGCGAACGAACACGGTGTTCACCGACATCTGGCCGCGAGACAGGCCGTGTTCGGCGTCGACCCGTCGTTCGCGTCCGAAAACGTACAGAAAGCGGACGGGACGGCGACCGAGTAGTACCTAAGAACAATGCCTACTGCGCCACTCGGGACCACAATCTGATCCACGAATATTCTCACCGACCGTACATTATAAATTATTAAATTATTATTATTGAACATTTTTAAATAATGTATCGTAAATGCTTTCTTTTATTTTTTTTTTTTTTTTTAAACCGCATATTTTATTGTTAAAATTTGTAAATATTAACTGTATCAATTACGCCTACTTAAATCTAATAGCGATAATGTCTTTGTACATAATTATAATACTCTTTACGGTTATAATATTATTGCATTATCTAGTTTATATATGTAGTTTATATATTCGGTGTCGGCATATTGTACGTTTTTGGGGAATTTTCGTTTTCAACCGAACAAACTCGAACGTGACGGCCAGAATATAACACATAATATTGCATTATATTCGCATGTATTTGACAGTTAAAATGATTGTTGGCGCGTTTTATTTTATTTTTTTTTTTTTTAAATACATTAATAACCGTTTTAAACAATCGTACCGTGTTATCGTATTGTTAAGAATATTGATAAGCCCATATATATTGTTTTCCGCAAACGGTATCCAATACTGATAAGCAGTGACATTTCATTCGGATAGTCTATAAACTGTTCATGAATATTCCGAAAATATGTGATGACAGAAATGTTAACAACCTATACAGGCACAATATTAAAAAGACGGACATATTTCGCACGATCGATGGGCCACTGTTTTAGGCGAGAAGTTTGGAGGCTGGGATATAGAGAAAAGTTCAATATATATATATATATATATATATCTGTTACAGTAAAACAATGCTAATGAAAAACGATTCGGAGCAGAGTTCAATTATACATGTTTTAAAACGCCGTAATATTTACGATTTTCGTCAAAATTTGATATTAAAATTTTTTACAAAAAACATTGAGCAAAATTTAGATTTTTCGCTTAAAAATTACGACTTATAATGAACCTCTTGTTAAATTTTCTAGCATTTCTGTTTAGTCAAACAATTTTATTCACAGAGTACCTACCGTATAAAAATTACAATGTCTATGAATAGTTAAAGAACGAGCAAAATATTTTCAAAATTTTTTTACGCCCAGAAAAGTAAATATAAGTGTTCTGTCCAATTTTCAAGTCTCTACAAATACTTTTAACTGAATAAAAGTAATAAAACAAAATTGAAAATAATACATTTCGTAAATTGTCCCGTTTGTCCTACGTTTTTCCCCAAGTTTTCCGATTTAATGTGACAACCCCACGAAAGAAATAAAAAAATAACCTGTTAGAAGTACCACTCGGGTTAAATTTCTTTTCAGAAAAAGTACTATAAATGAAAAAATTATAAAAATAAAAAAACAAAACGATAACATCATTGTAAAACCTACATCCTTCTCGGACCTATATATCCCATTTTTCATAGCGTTTAGCATTTTCATATACATCTCATATATATATATATATATTTATACGGCATTTTACCATACGGAGGAAAAATTTAGCGCATAATATTGTCATCTGAATCCGGTGGGTTTCTTTGGTAAACGGACATTTTAACCGCATAAAAAGAAACTATAGATAACTGGTTTTCAATGTTGTAGACTGTGCGCCAAGGTCAGGTGACTAAACGTAAAATAGTAGACTTTTTAATTTTTATTATTATTATTATAATTTTTTTTTTATTTGGCGAGGGGTTTCTGAAATAAGCGAACCGATTATCACTAATATCATGTCTCCCCCCAAGTCACTTACGACAGTGGATTCGTATTACAAAAAAACTATACCGAAAAGATCTACGTATCAAACATATTTGTTTATTAAATCCTATGTCACTTACATTTAATTTATTATTATATGAATATAACTATTATACATATATTTTTATAGATTCTGAGTGGAGCTAGGGATGTATTGGTCTTACAAAGATGTTTAATTTTTATTTAATTTTTTTTTTTGTGAACAATTTTTCTACAAGAAAACATACACCGATTATCAATTGTAGCACCTTTTCTGAAAGGAAATTTTCTCTAGGTGATACTTTAGATAGGTCATTTTTTCGATATTCTCGTTAATATTTGAGATAATTAGGAAAACCGAGTTCTTTAAGTTAAATAAAGATTGAAAAGTTAAAAATAAGTTTGTCATTAGCAAACAAAAGTTTTTATTATTTAAAGTCTTTTTTTTAAACGATCATTGATGTCATGGAAATGCACATTATTGTTATCATCTTACCATAATATGACCAAATATTTATTGTTAACAAAGCAACCCTATCAACTGATAGCTTGGAATTGGTTTTTTCGTTACTTACAGATTTACATTAAATTGTTTCACTGTATTCATAATTCTTTATTGTATTCCTCTGAGTGATCTATTCAATTCTCTATAACCGATGAAATCTAAAAAAAAATTATAATAAATAAAATACAATTACATCTAATAGCGACTCATAGGCAACCCCTCCCCCCCAGTGTGCCGGTAATATTATACAAAAACGATCAGCAAGGTAATTCAAAAACAAATCATGGGTATACACATTTTTCATGTAGATGAGAGTACATAAACGCTATCATATTCTAAAATCGCTCTAAATAACTGTTTTCCCAATACCCTATTATTAAAGAATACACTTATATCATGTTTTGAAAATCAATTTAATATGTTAAGTATATAAGTAATACTTAAGTTCATTTTCTAAAAAAAATCTTGAAAATTGAATACAAAATATTATGAAAAATGTAAATTTCTTATTATTTGTAAAAACAATCAATTTTAACTATGTGATTCTACAAAAATGTAATATCTTTTTATTCTAAATATTAATTGTTGTATTAGTATTATAAACAAAATATAGATATTTTTAAAATTGCTTGAAATTGCCTCTATATTCCGTTTTGATAACCGAATACTGGCTATTAACAAGTCAGACAATTTTAGTTAAGTTAGAATGTTAATTTTAAAGTTATTTTCTGACTTAACCATTTGGTTTGATTATAACTAGGGCTGTGAATTTAATAAAATCCTTAAGAACGTACAAAAAAATGCAATTAGAAATATGCATTTGATATCTCAAAAGTGAAATATAAAATGCATTTGAAATTATATTTAATTTAATTCTTGTATCTATTTTGAACTCACTGATATTAGTATATTCTATAGATAAAACTTAATTTATTTAATAAAAACATTTCTTAAAAATTATAATACAACTTTTGTAAATTATAAATTAGATGTTTATAAAGGTTGTATAAAATATAAAATATATGTGTTAAGATGTTAATTGATGGAATATAATTAAAAATACCAGAAAATAATCTTAAAAATTAAAAATGTTCAAAAATGCAAAATAAAATTATCATAAATGAATTTGTTGTTACATAATTGAAATTATGTACTTAAAAAAATGCACTTTTCAACAAATTCACAGCCCTAATTATAATGTTCTAATTTAAAAACTATAACTAGATTTAATGCATAAAATGATTTGATCTAACGCGTTATAAACAAAAATTTACTAATTAATTTGGCAATCGTGTAAGGAGTCGAAGAAAAAATAGTACAAATATTTATGTTGATGTTAAATTAAAACCATTAATGTATGTACGGGTACTCGTATAATATGTATAATGTATACACTATGTGGTATCGTAACAATTTATATATAGGAATGATAATAATTAATTTTCTGCATCAATTTAATTAGAAAACCATCAGAGTAAATTGACATATTACAAAATTGACTATTGGTGTTGATCTGATAATGTTAATAAATTAACGAAAATGAATAACGAACAAATAACAACTTACAGATTCTTAATTTAAATGATATATACTCAATAGAGCGTGTTTAATGTACCCCGTGATATTGTAACGACACTTAAATATTATTTGTATTTTATAATCGCTTGTTTTGGTTTTTTTCCTAAATTTCATAAAATGTATGAGTTGAATGTGTAGTTATTTATCTGAAATGTGAAATATTTAACTTAAATCAGATAATTGTGATATCGTTACTATAGTAATATCAGTTATTAGGATAGTTTAAAAAAATAAGAATGCAAATACGTATAATATAAGAGTTATTATTTTATTAATTTCATTAATATTCATAATTTTGCATACATTTTTTTGTTGTATGTTATTATACATAAAAAAAACTGTTAAATAATTTGCGTAACTATGTCATACAAATTACCAAATACGCATTTAATATACGTTTTAAAAAAAAAAAAAACAACAATAATAAAATGTAATTCTAATTTATCTTGTTAACATTTTCCTTCGTACGAAAACCATACAAAAATGTTTGATGTTTTTAATAATGGAAAAAAAAATAACATTTTAATAATTGAAATTTTAATTGATTTCAAAATGTACGAGATCATTGAAATATGCTCTGAAGCCGCACAAAATCTTAAAATTTGGTATAGAAATCTGAAAACGCCAAAATTTAAAATATAGGGGAGACTGGGTACAATTATAAAATTATCTGTATTTGCAAGGATTTAATTAATTTTTATTTGGTTTCATTTATAATCATTGGAATAACCTTTATAAATATGTTAGTATTGGACCTTAAATTTCTCAGTTTTTTGCACGGATGAGGAATAAAAAAAAATTGTTACAATTGAAACATTTCTTTGAACCAAAGTGACACATTTCATTTAATTCAATTTTAAATGCTAAACTATTCAATCAATAAAGATAAATCATACTAATAATTAAATTAAATAATAACGCTGTTTCTGAAAATACATTTATCTAATACATTGTATTTTATTTGACTTTTAAAATTTTGAATGATTAAAATCCTTATTATAAATTGATATAAACTGTACAAAATGTTATAAAGTAAACTGCACCCTATAAAAAAATTCAGAAATTTTAGAACTTTAATTTGTTTAAATAATTATAATAAAAAAAATGTGAATTAATGTTTAGTTACAAATCCAATGAAATTTCGACCTACAATTTCATTTTACAATTGTCTTTATTCGATATTTTTTTAGTAATTTAAATATTGAAATAAAGTAAATAAATATATTTATTTACGAGTATTAACTATTTTAATAATTTTGTTTTTATTTTATTATTTAAATATTGAGAAAAATATTTACTGGTTAGTGTATGTTGAACAACAACCACAAAAACTACTTAAGTTTTCGACTATGTTATTATAAAGACCACAAACAAAGAAAAAAATTCAACGATTATAAAAAAATAATTAATTTTATAATTTTATTTATTATCAGTTATTGAAAAGACATTTGTTGTTTTCTTCTTTAGTAATTATAATATCAACGTTTTGATAAGGAAATAATGTTTATTGTACAATGGGACAACTGTCGTATTCATTTGAAGTTTTTGCATTGATTTTGGAGCGAGTTTTTGCCACCGTTACAATTTACTGGTCCATGGTATAATCGTACCCAGTCTCCCAAACACAATACAATTTTGTATATTTACTCGTTAGATCATGAAACACAATATTTTGCTTAGCAATTTTTTCGACGACCGATAAACGGATGCAAATGCATAATAATATTGGCTCTAATCATTACGGACATGAACATGAAGTATGAACGTATATAACATGGCGCACTGATATTATATGAAACGAGAATAAATCATTAAAAATAGTCATAAAATATTGAGATTTTTGATGGTGTGCAGCGTAGTTGATTTTATGTCACAGATATCCATAGTATAATATAGATATCTGCGTTCTGTGCGTGTATTATAATATTATTGGTTATTGGTTCTCAACACATTTTTTGACGAACACTTCGATATTTACTACAGAGAATTTAATCACTGATTAATATGGAATATTTTGTTCACCGACTATGACAATTCTAACATGTATATTGTATACGGTCGATTGGGTCTAATTTAATTCGTCCAGTTTATTTTTCGATCTGAAGTGCATAAGTGTATGTATTTTCAAAATTACTGTATAAGAGTATTGGTTTGTATAAAGGTTTCTTCCTTGACACCAAAGATTATAATGTGGATTTAGTTTTTAGTCGGATATCATTTTTTTAAACATTATAACGAGATGATTAATACTCGACAGCATCGTAGACCTAAATTTGTTTTACGTTTTTGTAAAGACAATTAATAAAATAAATTGTTATCTGTGACGGTGTCGAGTAAATGAAAAGACTTTTAAAAAAAATGCGAAGTATATTTTTGATTCCGATTTTCATAATACATCTTAATTATTAATATCAACTCATCCGATTTACTACACCTACATTTGAGTATTTTGTTACAATTTACAATAATTCAGATTGTAGATCAGAATACGTGAAACTATGTGTAAATTCAACAAACGTCCCGTATTCTGATCGACAGTAGTGCCAATACAGTTTTCACTAAACGATATCATCTCGTTATTTTCGTGCCTTGTCTTATGTATTATAAAATGCATTTTAAAATATTACCCGGATGTATACGGTCGGATAACGGGTGGCAATTTTAACATTATCGTTTTGCGTTTAAAATAAAATGTTTTGCCTTTGTTAAGGGAGTGTTTTACTTGGACACCGGTCATTTTATTGTGTACACGGGTCGTAATTGTTAATTAATTAGGTACACTGACGTTTTCTCCGTTTGGAAAATGCGCACAAAACCGATCGAAATTTGACGTACCCACCTAAAGTCGTAGATAATTACACGTTGTTCGATTTATATTTGTTTGGTTTTGATAATCGTCTTTTCGGTATCAAGTCCAACATTTATAATATTAGTCAGGCACGATTCGGTTTAAAAACGATTGAGTCCCAGACCCAGATATGTACAAGTATGATTGATAGAAATAAGTAATTAAAAAAAAAAAAAAATACGAACAAAACGAATAGCTGACTGACAATTATTTTTCAATATTTTATTGACATTGGTCGACCGTATTCGGCGACTGGTTATAATACATTGATCGTGTCGTATTAAAGACAATATTTAAATATCTGTAAAAAAAAAATAAACATCATAAATTCAACTTTACGCGTAGTTACTCGCAAAAACAAAAATAATAATCGGTCGCGGTTTAGTTTCTTAGCGTCTTGTTGCCGTTGGCTTTCTTCTGGTCGGCTGACGGCGACTTGACGTCCGTTTGCGGGTCCGCGGAGTCATTGGACTGAGCGTCTACGGCGGGCTGCTGATTTTCCGTAGATCCTTGTTGCGCGTTCTTGAACACGTCTTGTCCGGCGGCGGCCACCTGGTCGGAAGCAGCAGATTCCGGCACGGAGTAGTCGGGTGCCGTCTGTTGTTGCTGTCCCTGTTGCTGTCCCTGCACCTCAGCGGTCCGCGTCATACCGTCGAATAGTTTCTGTTGCCTGGGAACTGGTTGGATGATATAACTGTACTGCCCGTACTGTTGAGGGGCGTACAGTTGATCGTCGCTCATTCTCATCATCGTGATGGGCACGGTGGGCGCTGGGACGGGCGCGTCGAAGTACTGCAGTTCGTCGTCAGTAGTCCTGAACACCGGCCTGAACAGTGGGGTGGGCCTCATCATCGGGAACTGCGTCATCCTGGAGCCGCCGAATCCCTTGCGGCTGGCCGCCAACATGTCGTCGTTGTACGCCACGGCCGCCATTGCGGGACCACTGCCGTACTGGATTTCCGGGTCACGGTACAAGGCCGCAGGGGCGTACGCCGTCTGCTGCAGAACGTCCTCGGCGGGCTGTACCAGCTCGCTAGTCTCGGCAGACTTCATCGGGGCGGGCAGATAGTCCAAGTATTCGACCGACCGGCCGTAATAACCGCCACCGCCGTAACTTGTGGGAAACTGTTCGGCCGGCTGGCACGGCGGTCTCTGACAGACCACCGGTTGGTATTGCACTTGAGGAGCGGACTGTTGCACGTAGTGCACCAGGGGCTGCTCAACGTGGATCTGGGGCTGTACATAGTGCAATTGCGGCGTCTCGACGTGGATCTGGGGCTGTACGTAGTGCACTTGTGGTGTCTCGACGTGTATCTGCGGATGCACGTATTGCGGTTGCGCGTATTGTGGTTGTGCGTAATGTTGTTGCGGCACGATCTGTTGTTGCGGCTGCACGTACACGTTCACGGGGTCCGGTTTTTTCAAGCAGTCCAGGTTCAAGAAGGTTCTCCCCTGTGGGGCGGCCGGCTTGTTGGTTTGTTCGGTGGCCTGCGGCTGTGGCGGCTGTGGCGACCGTTGTAGTGGCGGTGCCGGTGCCGGCGGTGACGCGGCCGCGTTGCTGGATTTCGCCAACACGGTGGGCGGGCTCGAGTCGCCGCAAACCAACGTTTTTAAGCCGGTTTTGTATACGTCCGCGAAGACGCATGCCACTTTGGTCTTCGGCGTTATGTTTCTCGGCGACCGCACCGTCTCGGTTTGTTCGACGTCCGCGTCTGCCACCGTCAGCGGTTGGCCGACCGACGCGGCCAAGGCGGTCGTCGTGGCCACGACGAGAATCAGGGCGACGGGCGCCAGAGCGAACGACTTGGTGGCGGCAATCATTTCGGACAGGTCGTGCGGACTGATCGTCGGCCGATCGATTACTGGCCCCACACCGAACGACCGTCGACGGATATAGCCGGTCGTCCGGCGGTATTTTTCGCTGATCGACAAAAACACCCGTTTCGCAACGACACCTTCGCGACGGTGGCGGCGGCGTCGTCCGCAACAATTATTACGGAACGTCCGGTCGTCCTGTAAAACAATACATTCAACACGTAGGTGCGTATCGCACGCGTTTCGATACACCCGATATCGGTAGACCGCCGAAAGTAGACCAAAGACGGCTGTGTAAAAAACAACAACGTACACAACTGTCGACAATAACAACGTTAATGTTGTTAACAGTCGCAATACAAAACAATACACGGTATCCCATACGCGATCGTCGCGTGAAAAAGTTCGCGTCGAATTTATAGGTATGCGCGATTAAATTGTCGGCCGGAGTCGCGTGCGAAAAACGTATTCTCAATTTTTTTTTTTTTTTAAAAAACGGCCCGAACGTAACACTAGCGCCGATCCATCTGGACCGTTTAGCATAACCGCGTCGAATTCACTTATACTTGTAAAACTTTACGTCCGTGGAAACGCGTCGGATCTCGACCAATCCGACCGTTCGCTTCGAAACTATACGCGTCTACCTCGCTTGTACAGTCGACCGTGGAATACGGGTCTCTGTATACCGGTGCTTGACAAGTTTCTTTTAAAACGGAACTAGTTCTTGTTCCTCGTCCCTCGTCCCTTATAAAAAAGAACTCGTTCTTCTATGCGTTCCTTCTTTTCTTTTTTTTTTATGAATACGCATATCACGTATTCATAAAAAAAATGTACCGGAGACGGGTGCAGCTATTGTTGTAGGCGGGTAGTTTGGGAAGGCAGGATAGTTAAAATTATAAACCGTTCTTACTCCTTAGAGTCTACATGTTTACAATACTAATAAATCAAATGAAATTGATTTCCTAGTTCCTATTCTAAAATAATTATTACACTGAAATTTTAATATGATCAAGATGGACTTATTTTTCTTACAAAGCATCGCTTAAGTTGTGTCTTTTTTACAGTCATGACATGCTGTAAATAAATTTTATATCAACACTAAACCATTTCTTAATAATAATATCACTAAATTAACGTGAGTTTTCTTTTCCCAATAGAAGGAACGGAAATCTGCATTCACGTTCCGCATAAATAGGAACTCTTTCTCGTTCCTCGTTCCCATGTTTTGAAAAGGGACGCGTTCCGAGATTCGTTCCTGTGAAAGGATCTCGTTTCTTTCCCACACTGTCTAATACTCTAAATCTAAAAGACTATCGGAAAATCGAAAGGACTCTGAAATGTTTTTTTTTTCCTACGTAGACCTTGTACTGAAAATTACTCGCCCTCCTCGCGATTACACGCCGGTTTTTTGAATCTTTTAACTTGAAATTAGAAATAAAATGCAAGACGTAAATCGTATAATTAATTTAATTTAGTTCGCGGTGAGACTGATTTTACCCGCCTACTCGATAGGGTCACTTTCCGGGTACCCTGGTTCGGTTTCCGTAACACTCGAATCATTGGAAGCCAGCACTCGTAAAACCAATTACTCAGTTAATGACTCTAATTATAGAACTGTATATGTCAAATTCACTTTGTCTACTAGTCTACCAGATTTCTACTCATATATTATAGTAATTAACGTATTCGGACCGGACCACGCAATAATTAATTTCTGTGTTATTTTAATGTATTTCCACTCTAATTGATTGTTATATTTTTTAGATTCTGAGCGGAGCGAGGAACGTGATATTGGTTTTACAATGATGTTTGATTCTTTTTTTCTTCTGTAAACAACTTTTCTACCAGAAATTCCGCTCCGATTTTTGAGTTGCAATTGGAAATGATTACTCGTCGCGTTATACATTCAATTTTCTCTCTGCCTTCCCGACTTTTCACCTACAATAAGTGGCACGTCCACCATGCGAAATATGTCTGTTTTTTTTGCTTTTTTTTTTTTTTGTTTCTTTTCTTTTTCACAGGTACGAATGTACTGGATCCATAAAATACGTCTTTGTAAAATTGCCGTTCACCGTTGAAATTAATTGAAAATAAATAAAACAATAATCGTGTTTTAACATATTGTTGTTGTTCGCAAATATTAATGTAAGCAAGGAGGGACCGGTAGTTACGTTAAGTACAAACTCGTACCTACGACTCCTATATTAAAAATGCAGTTCCCAGAGAGAGCGCGCGACAACAGTGTAACGTTACGGTCCTGTTAACGGAACACTCTGACCCGGACCGTTGGCCGAACTTCGCGTCAGATTCAGTGGCGTAACTAGAACTTCTAATGCCTGTAACAAAATCTTGCACGAGCAAAAAAAAAGCCTATCCAATAATGACTTGAGCCCTGGTTCGGGGCCTCTAAATATCACGGACCCGTGGCGTTTCCCCATCTCGTCCACCCGGTATTCGCGCTATCCGTCAGATTCTGCATTCGTTTTGAAGAGCCACATTATCGACACAGCGCGCGGGTTAAAGCGATTTTGTGTTCGCGTCTCAGCCGGTAAGCCCCGGGATTTGGGGATTCGCTTATTAATTACCATTGGGTCGATCCGATTTCGTGAAAAACACTCCATAATACGAATGAATTTCTCAGCCTATAGCCTTAAACGTAAATGTGGAAAGTCTTCTGTGCGAGCTTGTCCCCTTCAAATCAAGTCCTTATCAAGTAAATTCTAACACGCTTAATCGATACGCATTTATTTATTTATTATAAATTATATATTGTATAGATTAATATATATATTATGTATACATTATGGATATTACGGGGTGTTAAGCCCCGGCCCCATCAAATATTTGGGCTATTCGCTCCTATGCCAACAAAACTCATCGTGCCATCCGTGCCCAGGCCGTACTTATAGTGCAGATATTGTTTCCGTACAATTTGTATGGTTAAGTTCATTTTTTTTATATGACATCTATTGTACACCGCTATTAAAACAATCCAAAATGAACATCTCAGAAAACTAAAAACTCTGACGTATCACGTTTATAATGTTCATTTTTTATTCAACAGAACTAATATACTACCCGTACGAAAAGCGACCAACCCCCGCAGGTCGATTACATCGGGCGCATCCCACGGAATACTCTCGCTCGGTCTACAAATGGATACTAAACTCGCCTGACGTATCAGACCCATACGCAAATAAAGCGCCCACGTTTTATGAACATCCGGATTTTCCGTTTAAAACCGCTTTCCGGCGTGTGCCCGCACGTGGAAATAACGTCCAAATCTGTTTTTCCCCGAAGTACCGCGCACCGCGTAACCGACGAGAACGACGAGACGAAATTTCGTCCGAAAATTCGACGACTGGTTCGGCTGTATAACGTAAATAACACGAAATCCAACGCGCTCCCCGTTTGGATCGGATGTCACACATCGACGTCCGAACGAAATGTCAACGTTCCGGCGATGCGCGACAACGGCGGAAAACGGTCGGAACCGAATCGAACAACCGATCGCGGTCGCCCGCGCGCACGCCGGCACGCCCCGTGACAGCACAGTTTGCGACAGTGCCGTATTGTAAAGCGGGCGCGTGTGCAACTGGACCGGGCATACCGACGCAAACGTACGGAACGGTACCGCCAATCGCGCCGTCGTGCCAGTGGCGAGTCGTCTGTGACCGGAGCGCGTTTAATACGACCGCGGCCTATTATCGGGCGAGGGGACGAGGCGCCGAACCCCCTCGCCTCCCACTGGCCGTCACGCGTAAACGCGCACCGCGGTTACGAGATCGTAACGTTTTTGAATTTTTACCGTCTGTTTACATTACGCCGTTATCGTGTTGTCCGCGATATCGTACCGCGCGAGTTTCCGCGTTTCACGTTATTACGTTACGTGTAGTACGGACTGCGCGGGTGTTTTAATGATATTGTCTCGGAGACGGTTTACGAATTCGTTTACGTCCGTATGCGTTTCAAACGAAATTATGTCAACTGCATGATTGTTATTATGAATTAGAAGTTTTCGTAACGGAACGACGACAAAGTATTATTATTGTTTACAACTCGTATATTTTCCAAATGAAAATTAATATTTTGAAATCGTATCGTTTTTCACAAAAAAAAAAAAAAAAAAAGCTTCGTGTGTTGTTTGCGTTAAGCGTTACGTATTATATTATTTTTGTTTATTAACCGTGAAATACCTTACCTATGAGCATGCAAAACAAATAATAACATATAAATACTTTAAACAATGTGATACGGACTTATTCACTACCTTTTTGAAACAATGTATAGTGTTTTGTATTTATGCACACGAAATTATCGAAGAAAATACAAGGACAACAAAAAGGGTAACGAGAAAACCTTTTATCGCGTGCTCATTTTCAGGGAAGCAGTAAGAAATGTTGATGGGGTTAGGCGACAATCGGCGGGGGAGGCTATACAATGGCACACAAAGAGGGGGTTAGGGGGTCATAAACCCCTCCGAAATGTCTTACTTCACTAATTTTTTTTTTTAAATCAAGTTTTACCCTCAATATCGCATACCACAGAATTAAATTAAAATTTAATTCCACCAAAAATAATTAATTCGGTTATAATAGTGATTTTACTGTACTGGTAATAACTTTGCTATTCTCTCTGTGGGAAATTATTATAAACAAAACCCCATCCGAAAAAAATTCCTGCTTGTGCGTATGCACGGACCTCTGTCGTGGTACAAACCAGAGCGGGTAATACGTATTACACGCCACGCCAGTAGCGGGTTGAAGACTGTTTTTTTTTTTATTTTTAGGCCCATGCTTCAACCAAAATTTGTGGGCGGAAAGTGGAAAGTGGACAGTCGGAAATGTAAGACTGTAGAGGCATAGAGCAGCGATTTTCGAAGTAATTAACATAAAATAATTCTACAATTTACCATTGATTTCTTTGTAAGCGGCTGGTTAGTACAGAACATTACTGGGCGTCTCATTAAAAAAATGTTCCACACGCCACCGTTGGAAGTATTTGCG